ATAAAAAGAAATAAACAACTAAAAGCTAGAAACCCTTTCTTTTGTCTAACCGTGTACTTACAGAACCAAAATTTTATAAAAAATTTGCAGGACTCATTGGAGTAAGCAGCTAGTGGAGAAGGTACCTGCAACAAAACTGCCAAGAAAAGCGTCGTTTCACAGTCCTTAAACCAACAATGGGAAACTGGAGAAAGTTTATGGAAAAGTAGTGAAGAGAAAAAAACCTAGTCAGTGTTTGTATACAGTTTAATTATGTGATCGTGTCTACTCATGAATATGACTGCATCAACGATGTCTTCTCTCTAAAAACAAAATATGTTTTATCCCCGGTTTTTTAACGTGGATTAATTGCTTCACTTATGGAGGAAGAGAGAGGGCTGTACAGTTTTGATATGATTGGCTTTTATTTTTTTTTAATGAGATGTGGTTTCTTAAGAGTATGAAGAAGAAACACAAGCAGCATTAGAACATATGTACGTTTGTCTTTTGTAATTTGTAATGTACATCCTGATTACAAACTACTACTTATTTATTCCAACCTTTAATTCTTCGAAATTAGAGATTGAAGAGAGGGAAAGAAAGTTGTAACGTTTTTGGTTGCTTGAACTATTCGAGGTTTGATCAGAGTTAGCACTCAGTTTAGATTAACGACAATAGAAATGAAAACAAACCCTTAACACTATAGTATACTACGTACTATGTATTATAATTATTTGAGAGACTGAATGACAAACACAGTCCTAACCCATAATTGATAAAACTACTATACTATTATTATCTTTATTTGAGAAACTTAAACTATAGATGAAATCAAACGATCGATACTGTTTTGTTCCTCCTTAAGTAGTAGAACGGAAAAGACATTCAAAATGATTCAAGCAGGCTCGAACAGAGTGATAGGCTCCTATATCCTCTCCTTCCAACAAAAAGGTTCCGCTTAGTCCTAATGAGCCTGTCTTGTAATACAACACATACTCTGATCCACCACGCGGCCAGCTGGTTGGTGCTGTGAATACAAGTTCTCCTGTTCCAAGGGTACCTACGAAAGAAGTCAAAACATGCGGCCTAAATTTGTTTTTCCAATCAGGAATCACAACGCGTTCTAACTCCCACTTTCCTGAATCATCGTTCCTAACACAAATCTTAAACCCTCCAGTTTTTTGCAATTCGGTCGCTGAGTCATTCACCAAGGCCACTTTCCCGTTATAGTTCACCATTGTAGAATCATCATCAAGTATGAATCCTTCAGGCAATTTATTAACAGAAAACTCTTCTGAATTCAAGTCGAAGCTCATTATTTTAGTTCTATGATATGGAATTGTTATAGCTGCATAGTATAAAACTCCTCCTTTACACAGTGCGTTAGTGACTGACAGTGGCGGATTCGTATCGGAAGGGATGACATACATATGAGGATCCTCACATTCGATCGGTCTCCAAGACCCTTCACCATTACCCGATGTTACCGTGTAAACTTTAAAGCTTGAGTTAAAGAAACCTAACACCTTGAATACACCATTAGCTTCATCGTATCCAAATAGACACTCATCGGGGCCCGCTAGGGAAACCGGTAGACGCAAAATCTTGTTTGCAATGGGGTTGTATAGCCTCAACTTAGTTGCTGATTGAACACAGATCCAACCTCTGATGGGTGCAGAAACTGTATGTTGTCCCCGTTCCGTACAAACAGAGTCGAACAACCAATGTGGACCTGAATCCATGTCTCTTGTCATGAATAGCATTAGTAAACTAGGTTCCAAGTAACGAGTTTTGAATTTTTCATCACAGATCATAGTCTTCAGTTTCCTGCAGACGCAACTGCATGCAAGCAAAGTTTTAAGAGGCAGACGTAGCAGAATATCGTATTGGATATCTTCAGGAAGAGACTCCATTTTTCAGTTTTTTTTTCTCTTTGGTTTTTCTCTGGTAATATTTTTTTTGTATCTGTCCAGGACACAACACACAAATATGAATTTATAGAAAATATCAGCCAATGAGAGAGAGAGAGTTAAGAAAGTTGTTAGTAGGTCACAAATATGGAGGAAGTCTCTAACGCGTTCATCTTTACCACTAATATTTACATCATCTAATTAATTAAAAGCTATAAAAGCAAAGATAGTACTCTCTTTCACACTTAGTTCTTACAAGTTTTGTTTCCTCAGTACATGTTTACCACTTGCACATGCAGAAAGAGTTTACTATAATTGGTAGTTAATGAATTTTCTAACGCGTTCATCTGTACTTTAACTTTAGCTTCTGGAGTCTTCTAATGCGTCATTCTTTACTTGTAATATTTACATCATCTAATTAAAAGATATAAATGAGAAGATAATTAAAACTCTGGTTTGCACGTAGGTTTTACAAGTTTTCTTTCCTGGTACACGTATACTACTTTCACATGTAGAAAGAACTTTTACTAAATTTGACAATTTGTTAGCCAATGAACTAAAAACTATCAAGAAAGTTTATCATCATAGAGTCATCAGACAATTCTTTAAATTACTTGAGAAAATATCAGACAATGACAGAAAGAGAGAATTAGTTGAGTTTGTTATCGAAAGCTGTGAATTTGGTCACTTTTTTAACTTATTAATTTCTTGAGTCTTATAATGCGTTCATTTTAATTGTAATATTTACATCATCTAATCAAAAGCAATAAAAGAAAAGATAAAACTGTTAGCACATAGGTTTGGGATCAAGTATGGATTTATAGGGTTTTCTTTCGTAATTGTTTTTTTCTTTTTTGTTAAACTCGTATTTTTTTTTTTTTTACATTTGGGTTCATTTTAGTTTCATTTTATTTTTCAGTAAAGAGATTGTGCTAGTACAAAGCTTGAATTTACAGGTTCTCTTCCGTCTTACGCGTCTAGTCATGTAGCCATCACACGATCATACCAAATATAGAAATACTATATTGCCACGGAAACGCATTCAGTGAAAAAACTCCCAATTCCGACGTAGAAATCGGTAATGGTTTGTGTTCGTGTTGTTCTGTCATCTATTAACTGGTAGTTGTAACTTTTTTGGTTTTATACTAGTCAGTACTCATTTCTCACCGTTACGCATTGCTTCGTCTTTGAGGCCAATAAGAATTTAATCTTTATATAAAGAACTTTGAGGCAAAGATGTAAAGCCTTAGCAGCTTTATATGTTTCATTATAACAATTACACGTTGAAGTAGCTAGGATACTAAAATTGTTAGCCAATGAGCTAAAAGAATAGATGAAACTTTTGTAAAGGTTTTCACTTTCACATATAGAAAAAAACTTACTAAAATTGTTAGCCAATGAACTAAGAGTAATCAAGAAAGTTGAAAATTGATAACTCTTAGTTTGGACCATAAGAACATCATTAAAGGTCATAAACTGATAGAACAAGATTATTCATTACCATAACAAATTAGATCAAACACAATATAAATGAAAACAAACCCTTAAGATTACTATACTACTTTACTCATATTATTTGAGAGACTGAATAACAAACAGTCCAAATAAAACTACCATATTTAATTTATTATTATTTTGAGAAACTTAGAGATAGATCAAACGGTACTGGTTGTGCCTCCTTAATTAGTAGGGAAAAGAGAATCGAAATGATTCAAGCAGGCTCGAACACAGTGATACGAACCTCCATTCACTGCTTCCACGCTAAACATTTCGAATCCACTGCTTTCTTTTGGAGGGTTTGTATTGTAATGCAAAACAGACTCTGATCCTTCATGCAACGAGTCTGGTGCTGTGAAAACAAGTTCTCCTGTTCCAATGGTACCTACGAAAGAAAACATCACATTGTTCCCAACATTGTCTCTCCATCCAGGAATCACAAGTTGATGTAACTCCCATTCTCCTGAAACTTCGTTCCTAACACAAATCTGAAACTTTCCTGTCTTTGATTTCTTATTCACCAAGGCAACTGATTATAATCCAAAGTTTCAGAATTAAACATGACTCCCTCAGGCAATTGATTATAATCCAAAGTTTCAGAATTCACGTTGAAGCACATGACTATAGATTTTAAAAGACCTGAAAAAACGGCTGCAGCTGCGTAGTATAAAACTCCTCCTTTACACAGTGCACGAGAAAAGTTTACCATATCAAGAGTCTCACATGCTATCTCTCTCCAAAATCCTTCATCACCCGAGCTTACCGTGTAAACTAGAGGTTTAAAACAATAATACCTTGGCCATAACACTTTGAGTGAACTAGTAGCTTCATCGTATCCCAAAAAGAACCTTCCGGGGGATAGTCCAGGCCATTTGATATCAGGTAGACGCAGAACATTGTTGGTAATGGCACTGCATAGCAAAAACCTAGTTGATGCTTGAAGGCAGACCACGCCTCGAACGGGTGCAGACCTCGTCCATTTTACTAAACGATTCTCTTTTTGACAAACAGTGTGAAAAAACGAATCTGGAGTTGGATCCATGGGTCTTGTCATGGAGCGTAGCAAGTAACGATTTTTGAATTTTTCATCACAGATCATTGTCTTCAGTTTCCTGCAGACGCGACTGCATGCAATCAAAGATTTAAGAGGCAGACGTAGCATAACTTCAGTTTGCATGTCATCAAGAAGCGACTCCATTTTCATTTTCTTTTCTTGTTTTTTTTTTATTGTATGATTTTTCTCAAGCTATATCTTTTGTATCTATTCTGGACACAACACACAAATATGAATTTATAGAAAATATCAGCCAATGAGCTGTGTGAGTATGCCACATTAACTTTAGCTTCTGGAGTCTTCTAACGCGTTAATCTTTACTTGTAATATTTGCATCATCTAATTACAAAGTTACAAAAGAAAAGACAAAACTCTGGTTCGCACGTAGATTTTACAAGTTTTCTTTCCTCGAACACGTTTACTACTTTCACATGTAGAAAGAACTTTTACTATACTTGACAATTTGTTAGCCAACGAACTAAAAATTATCAAGAAAGTTTATCATCATATAGTCATGATGACAATTCTTTAAATTGCTACAATACTTTAAACTACTTGAGAAAATATCAGACAATGACAGAAAGAGAGAGTTTGTTACGAAAGCTGTGAATTGGTCACTTTTTAACTTATTAATTTCTTGAGTCTTTTAATGCGTTCATTTTAATTGTAATATTTACATCATCTAATCAAAAGCAATAAACGAAAAGACAAAAAAAAAACTATATAGGTTTGGGACCAAGCATGTATATAATTTACAGTTTTCTTTCGTAATTGTTTTTTCTTTTTTGATAAACTCGTAATTATTCTTATTTTTTAAAACAATTTGGGTTCATTTTAGTTTCAATCTATTTTTTCAGTAAAGAGATTATGCTAGCATAAAGCTTGAATTTACAGGTTTTCTTACGTCTTACTCGTCTAGTCATATAGCCACCAGGTCCAGAAGATCATTTCAATCTTATAATAGAGTGGTAGATATTCACTTTCACATGTAGAAACAACTTCACCAAATTGTTAGCCAATGAGCTTAAAAGACTAAGAACTCTCCATCGGAAAGTTATCAATAAAGTTTCTCATCATAAAAATAAGGGAAACTAGAAAATGGAGAGAAAAAGGGTTGCAGTTATCAAATGAAAATTCTGTAGATTATTTTTTTTTTTAAGAGCAAAAAAAGATGTAAAGCCTTAGCAAATTTATATGTTTCATTATAACAATTACATGTTGAAGTAGCTAGGATACTAAAATTGTTAGCCAGTGAGCTAAAAGAATAGATGAAACTCTTGTAAAGGTTTTCACTTTCACATATAGCTAGAGACAACTTTTAAAAAATTGTTAGCCAATGAACTAAGAGTAATCAAGAAAGTTGAAAACTGATAACTCTTAGTTTGGTCCATAATAACAGAATTTGATAGATCCAAGAGCACATAAATAAATTAAGGTCTGAAACTGATAGAACAAGATTATTCATTAGCATAACAAATTAGATCAACGACAATATAAATGAAAACAAACCCATAAGACTACTATACTACTTTATGCGATATTTGAGAGACTGAATAACAAACAGTCCAAATAAAACTACCATATTTAATTTATTATTATTTTGAGAAACTTAGAAATAAATCAAACGATACTGGTTGTGCCTCCTTAATTAGTACGGAAAAGAGAATCGAAATGATCCAAGCAGGCTCGAACATAGTGATACGAACCTCCATTCACTGCTTCCACGCTAAACATTTTGAATTTCTTCTTTCCTTGTGGTGGGTTTGTATTGTAATGCAAGACAGACTCTGATCCATCATGCAACGAGTCTGGTGCTGTGAAAACAAGTTCTCCTGTTCCAATGGTACCTACGAAAGAAAACATCACATCGTTCCCAACATTGTCTCTCCATCCAGGAATCACAAGTTGATGTAACTCCCATTCTCCTGAAACTTCGTTCCTAACACAAATCTCAAACTCTCCAGTGTTTTGCAATTCGGTCGCTACCAAGGCAACTTTCCCGTTATAGTTCACCATTGGAGCATCATCAGGAAGGCTGACTCCCTCAGGCAATTGATTACAATCAAAAGTTTCAGAATTCACGTTGAAGCACATGACTATAGATTTTTCAAGACATAAAGGAAGGGCTTTAGCTGGGTAGTATAAAACTCCTCCTTTACACAGTGCACAAGAGAAGATTGCCATATGATAAGTCTCACATGCTATCTCTCTCCAAGATCCTTCACCACCCAAGCTTACCGTATAAACTATAGGGTTAGAATAAATCCTTGGCCATAACACTTTGAGTGAACTAGTAGCTTCATCGTATCCCAAAAAGAACCTTTCGGGGGTTAGTCCAAGCCATTTGATATCTGGTAGACGCAGAACATTGTTGGTAATGGCACTGCATAGCAAAAAACTAGTTGATGCTTGAAGGCAGACCACGCCTCGGGTGGGTGCAGACCTCGTCCATTCTACTAAATGATTCTCTTTTTGACAAGCAGTGTCAAAAAACGAATCTGGAGTTGGGTCCATGGGTTTTGTCATGGAGCGTAGCAAGTAACGATTTTTGAAATATTCATTACAGATAACAGTTTTTAGTTTCCTCCAGACGCGACTGCATGCAAACAACGATTGAAGAGGCAGACGTAGCAGAATATCGTGTTGGATCTCTACAGGAAGGGACTCCATTTTCAACTCTTAGTTTTTTTTCTCTTTGGTTTTTCGCTAGTAATATTTTTTTTTTTTTTGTATCTATTCAGGACACAACACAGAAATGTAAATTTATAGAAAATATCAACCAATGAGAGAGAGAGTTAAGAAAGTTGTTAGTAGGTCACATACTCACATTAACTTTAGCTTATGGAGGAAGTCTCTAACGCGTTCATCTTTACGAGTAATATTTACATTATCTCATTAAAAATTATACAAGAAAAGATTCGCCCGTAGATTTTACAAGTTTTCTTTCCTGGTACACGTTTACTACTTTCATATGTAGAAATAACTAATTTTACTAAATTTGACAATTTGTTAGCCAACGAACTAAAAATTATATATGAAGAAAGTTTCTCATCATAAAATCATCAGCCAATTCTTTAAGTTGCTACAATTCTTTAAATTACTTGAGAAAATATCATACAATGAAATAAAGAGAGAATTACTTGAGTTTGTTATCGAAAGCTGTGAATTTGGACACTTTAACTTATTTAGTTTCTTGAGTCTTCTAACGCGTTCATTTTAATTGTAATATTACATCATGTAATCAAAAGCAATAAAAGAAAAGATAAAACTGTTAGCACATAGGTTCGGGATCAAGCATGGATTTAGAAGTTTTCTTTCGTAATTGTCTTTTTTTTTACAAATTAGGTTCATTTTAGTTTTAATTTTTTTCAGTAAAGGAAAGGTCCACTTTTACACATGGATGATAGAGAGCTTACTAAAATTGTTGGGCAGATAAACAAACAACTAAGAGCACCGAATCTGAAGTGTTTCTTTCATCAAACATATTGTGTATTTGTGTATACTTTACAAACGGTACGTGACATGCATGTAACTCACAGGCCCGTCTCAAGAGTAAGTTGGGCCCGGAGCAAAAAAATTTTGGACCCTTTAGTACAAAAGATAAGAAAATTTGGGGCCCTTTTTCCTTTACAATTTTTTTTTTTTTTTTTAAAAAAAGGCCCTAATCTGGGCTTAAAAATTTTAAACAATGTAACGGACCCTGTGCAAATGCACTTCCAACACATGCCTTGGGCCGGACCTGGTAACTCAAAGACTCACATGACGACGACATGCGTACAATTCATTGTGTATGGAACTGTGAACATCACAATATATTATATGGCCACGGAAACGCATTCTATGAAGAACTCTCTTAGAGACGGTGGTTTGCGTTCGTGTTATTAACCTTATTAGTAACTTGTTTTGGTTGTTGTAAACTAGTCATTACTCATTTATTCGTTACGGCATTGCTCCTGTCTTTGAAGCCAATAAGATTTTATATAAAAACAAAAACTTGGAAGCAAAGATGTAACTAGCCTTGGCAGATTAAGATGTTAAAGTAGGATACTGATTGTGTACACAGATCAGGTATTAAGAGCAATAAACCAGAAGCTCTGCATATAATTTCTTCGAGCACTTCAATTATATTAATAATGATGCATCTCTTCCTACTCTGTTTTTACTCTGGTACTTTTATTACGAGACACATAGGTTGGCTCCTGGTTATGGTTTTGCCTTTGGATTGTTACTAAAACCAAAGCTTATGAGTTATGACTGTGTGAGCTACCGTTATTACCAGCCATGGAACTGATATACAACATCTTTTCCCATTTTTTTGTTACATTAGGAGAGGATGAATAGTTAGTTATTCAGTTATAGGAATCACAAAAATAGCAAGAGACAGGCAGCTTGACGTCTAGTCAAGCGAATAGAGGAATGTCTTGTGTTGCAAGGAAGCATGGCTTACTAGTTTCTCCTCTAATATTAGTCTATGACGATCATAAGGCTAACCTAATTTCATCAAAAGGCTCCCAGCTGGTTATGAGTGTATGAATGGTATGAAAGTTTCATATACTTTATTAAAATAGATAAAATAGATTTATTAATTGATAGAACATTGTTGTTTACCATAAAGAAAGATTAACGACAAGAGAAATTATGAAAATGAAAACAAGTCCCAGTAAGACAATACTTGAGAGACTGAATGACAAACAATCGCAATACTGAGATCGAACAATATTATTCATTAGCATAACAAATTAGATCAACAACAATAGAAATGAAAACAAACCATTAATTATTATAATCTTTATTTGAGAAACTTAAATATAGATGAAATCAGGGGCAGGCGATACTGTTTTGTTCCTTCTTAAGTAGTAGTACGGAGAAGGCATTCAAAATGATTTAAGCAGTCTCGAACATAGTGATAGGCTCCTATTTCCGGTTCATTCAACTTAAAGGTTCCGCTTAGTTTTGATGAGCCTGTCTTGTAATACAACACATACTCTGATCCATCACCCAACCAGGTTGGTGCTGTAAAAACAAGTTCTCCTGTTCCAATGGTTCCTACGAAAGAAGACGAATCATTTGGCCTAAAAGTTTTTTTCCAATCAGGAATCACAACGCGTTCTAACTCCCACTGTCCTGAATCTTCGTTCCTAACACAAATCTTAAACCCTCCAATGTATTTCAATTCGACCGCTGAGTAATTCACCAAGGCAACTTTCCCGTTATAGTTCACCATTGTAGAACCAAAATCAAGTATGAATCCTTCAGGCAATGGATTAACAGAAAACTCTTCAGAATTCAAGTCGAAGCTCATTATTGTACGTGCATGATCTGGAAGGGTTTTGGCTGCATAGTATAAAACTCCTCATTTACACAGTGCATTAGTGACGAACAGTGGCGGTGTAGAATTGGATACCAAGAACAACTTGTTTATTAATGATCAATGAGAAGCATATTTATACAAGGGAGAACACACCAAAGATAGCTCCTAAGTTACTATAAACTAGGAGATAAACATAATTCTATCATTATCTATAAGGAAGTCGTCCTTATCTTCCTAATACTCCCCCTCAAGTTGGAGTGTGGAGATTCGTAAGACCCAACTTGAATGATAAATCTTGGAATTTTGCACGACCAAGCGCCTTTGTCAGGAGATCAGCGACTTGAGAGTGGGTTGTAATGTGTATAGTCTCAATGAGTTTAGCAGTGACAGCATCACGGACTGCGTGACAGTCATTTTCCACATGTTTAGTGTGTTCGTGAAACACTGGATTCGATGCAATGTGGATGGTTGCCTTACTGTCACAAAAGAAGCGAGATGGCGCAGGTTGTTTGATACCCAACCCTTCAAGAAGACGTCGCAGCCATTTGATTTCTTTAAGTGCATCAGACATGGCTCTGTATTCAGCTTCAGCTGAGGAGTGTGAAACGGTGTCTTGTTTCTTTGTCTTCCAAGCAATAGGTGATCCTCCAAGCAATACAACAAAAGCACTGAGAGAGCGATGAGTAAGAGGACATGCAGACCAGTCAGCGTCACAGTAAATGGTGAGAGAGAGATCAGGGTCAGACTTGAGAAGAATGCCCTGTCCAATGGATCCTTTGAGAAAACGAACCACGCGAAGAGCTGCGTCCCAATGAGCTTCTTTTGGGACCTGCATAAACTGAGTTAAAATGTGTATGGCGTAGCTCAGTTCAGGTCTTGTATGACTGAGGTAAATCAGACGTCCAACTAGACGACGATATTGCGGAGGATTGGTCAGTGGTGGACTGTCAAGTTTAGGATTAGCAAGTTGATGTCCCTGTTCAAGTGGTGTATCTGCCGGTTTGCAACCCAGATTCCCTGTCTCGCTAATAATGTCAAGAGTGTACTTGCGTTGAGAGACAAAGAAACCCTCTGGTCCACGGCTGACTTCCAGACCAAGAAAGTATTTGAGTTTGCCCAGATCCTTCATAGAGAAACAACGACTGAGATACTCTTTAAACTTCAGAAGCATGTGATTGTTATTGCCACAAATCAAAAGATCATCCACGTAAATGAGGACATGCATCTCGATGCCATTCTTCACGTAAGAAAAGAGGCTATAATCATCATATGACTGAACAAATCCAAACCGGAACAGAGAATCCGAAAGCTTTTTAAACCAGCACCGTGGAGCTTGTTTGAGGCCGTATAGAGATTTGCGTAGACGACAGACTTTGCCAGGATGCTTATGTCGAAAACCAGGAGGTAGCATCATATAAATTTCTTCGTCCAAATCGCCATGAAGAAAGGCGTTATTAACATCCATTTGAAAAACCTCCCAATTATTTGCTGCAACAAGTCGAAGAAGGGACCGAATCGTTGTCATTTTGACAACATGAGCAAAAGTTTCAGAGTAATCCTCTCCTTCAATCTGCTTGCTTCCATTGACTACAAGACGCGACTTGTACCGTTTGATAGTACCATCCGCATTATATTTGATGCAATAAACCCACTGACTCGGGATGGCACTTTTGCCCGGAGGAAGAGTAGTAATATCCCATGTGTGTTGTTCTTCCAAAGCATCAACTTCTTCATACATTGACTTGTTCCAAACATCATACTCAGCAGCTTCTTTAAAATGTTTTGGAACAACTCCAGCAGTAACAGCAGCAAGAAAAGCTTGATGTACTGTAGAAAATTTAGAATCATAAATATAATCTGATAAGGGATAAGGGGTCGTACCTGTGACCGTAGACGAGGAAAGTGGCAAGAGAGAAGAAGCGTGTGGGGTATTCGAAGCTTGAACATTATAAGTGACGAAATCTTTAAGCTTCACTGAAGGAGCTCGTTCTCTCTGTCCTCGACGAAGTGGCTCAGGGGAAGAAGTAGTAGAATTATCCAGAGGAACAGGTGTGGTTTCAGAAACTTGGGATGCAGGTAAAGACGTATCAGGAGAGACCTCTGGTGCAGAAACAGAGTTCGGCGTTGAAGTAACAGGTATAGTAGAGGACGTGATGTCGATAGAAGAGGTGGGATTAACAGAACTCCCCCTATCGACAATAGTCGGTGTAACAGCCCAGTCATCATCATCAGTTGGAGACATAGCAGGTACTGGTGGAGATGTGGTAACTTTCTCAGTGAATGGAAAGATATCTTCGCGAAAAATAACGTCACGAGAAATAATTATTTGTTCCCGTTCTAAATCAAAAACTTTCCAGCCTTTCTTCCCAAGAGAATAGCCAAGAAACACACACAAGCAGCTGCGTGGATCAAATTTATCCTTGGAACGAGAAGACTTGTGAACATAACATGCACATCCAAATACTCGAAGTTGTCCATAGTCTGGTTTGTGTCCATGAAGAAGCTGGTAAGGCGAAAGACCCTGATGCATTTTGGACGGAGTACGATTTATTAGGTATGCTGCAGTAAGTATGGCCTCTCCCCAAAATTTTATAGGTAGAGATGCTTGAAACAAAAGTGCGCGAGCCACATTAAGAATGTGCATGTGCTTTCTCTCAACACGTCCATTTTGCTGAGGTGTTGCAACACATGAAGTTTGGTGAATGATTCCAAGCTCACGAAAGTGATCTGATAGACACATAAACTCGGTTCCATTGTCGCTGCGAACTATTTTGACTGATTTACTGAATTGCTTCTCGGCATAAGTGATGAAATTTGTCAGAACCGTTCGAACCTCAGATTTAGCAAGCATTAAATAAGTCCAGACGGCTCTGGAGTAATCATCAACAATGGTGAGGAAATAAACAGCTCCACATGTTGAGGGGATTCGATATGGTCCCCATACGTCACAATGAATAAGTGAAAAAATATCATTAGATTTATTAATGCTATCAGAAAACACCTCTCTAGTTTGTTTCGCACGAAAACAGATGTCACAGGGACTGGAGTTAATAGTACTAGAAGAAGAAAGCACAGGTAAAGCCGAAAGAACAGTAAAACTTGGATGTCCTAGACGTTGGTGCCAAAGAGATTGATCCGCAGAGACGTTGACACTGTGAACCTTTGCAGTAGCAACTTTAGTCAGAAAATATACCCCATCACGCTCTTCACCTCTTCCAATCAAAGTCCTCGAAAAACGGTCCTGTAAAACACAAATTGTGTCAGTAAATGTTGCAAAGCACCCCGTTTGTTTCAAAACTTTTGAAACTGAGAAAAATGTGCAATTTAAAGATGGCACAAGCAACATATTTTTCAACGAAACCGTCGAGGATAATGGGAAGTCGCCCATGCTGACAGCAAAAGTTTTACTGCCATCAGCAAAACCAATAGAGCATGGAGGTATTGAAACAATGTTAGTCAACAAAGTGATGTTCCCAGTCATATGGTGAGAGGCTCCTGTGTCGAGGATTACATCACCATATTTTCTCTTACCAGAAAGCTTGTCACTGGGATTGGACTTCTCTTGAATCAGATGAGATAATGCGCGCCATTGTTCCTGAGAGAAGTCGGGAAAGTTGGAGGCATGTGCACTTGTAGCGTGAGCTGCTGCTTGCTGAGGGCGACCACGACCTTCGCCGCGTTCTGTACCCCTACCACGAGAGCTCTGTTTATTACGTTCAGTCCACCATTCGGGATAGCCAATTATTTGCCAGCAGTCCCGTTTCTCGTGGCCATTACGGCCACAATGTGAACAGAGCATAGAACGATCCCGAGTACGTAATATCGTATCAGGTATTGGGGAAAGCTGATTGCCAGTCTTAGCAGGAGTAGATTGATCATGAGAGGAGGCGTCTTGTTGCTGAATGTTGCGAGTGGTAAGCCCTAACGCATCATGTTGAGATTCACGACTTCGTGTAGTGACTAACCGTTGCTCTTCTCTAATTGCCCTAGAGTAAACTTCTTCCAGAGATGGTAAAGGATCAAGCCCAATGATAGTAGTACAGAGACTACCAAATCGAGCATCATCAAGACCGAGCAAGAAATCGTGAACCTTATCTTGTTCTCTTTCTTCGGACAAAGTTTCGGAAGCTTCACACGTACAAGGCGGCAGTGGTCTGTGAATAGCATACTCCTCCCACAAGGAACTCAATTTGCCAAAATAATCTAAGATAGATTGACCTTCCTGTCGGCATGTTGATATCTGACCTTTTAGTTGATGCAGACGAACCTTGTTGTGTACGGAAAATCGTTGCTTGAGATTGTTCCACAATTGAGCTGCATCTGTAATAAAAGTCACTGTTGACCTAACTTTGGGTTCGATGGAAACTCGAATCCAACCGATAATCATGGAGTTAACTGTCATCCAATTATCATAATCAGGATGATCAGAAGCAGGTTTCACAATAGTGCGTTGAGCAACTCGATGGACCATTCTTTGTAGTTGTCGCCATTGAGAAGGACAGAAGTAATAAGTGCGCCTGGATTATCGTTGCGAGATAAAGTATAAGGAGATACGACGGCTACTTCCATCGTGAATTAGGTATACACAACACGTGTGTTTGTCTCGGCTTTTCTCGCCCTGAGACTAAAAGAAAATTTTAGTGTTCTAGCAGAATTGCTCTGATACCATGTAGAATTGGATACCAAGAACAACTTGTTTATTAATGATCAATGAGAAGCATATTTATACAAGGGAGAACACACCAAAGATAGCTCCTAAGTTACTATAAACTAGGAGATAAACATAATTCTATCATTATCTATAAGGAAGTCATCCTTATCTTCCTAATAGGCGGAATAATATATCCGTATCTTAAAGAGATGAGATACGTATGAGGATGCTCACATTCGATCTATCTCCAAGACCCTTCACCAGTACCCGATATTGCAGCCGTGTAAACTTCAAATCTTGAGCCAAAGAAACCTAACACCTTGAATACACCATTAGCTTCATCGTATCCAAATAGACACTCATCGGGGAGGCCCCCTAGGGTTACCGGTAGTTGCAGAATCGTGTTTGCAATGGGGTTGTATAGCCTCAAATCAGTTCCTGATTGAACACATATCCAACCTCTGATGGGTGCAGAAACTGTATATCCTTCCCTACAGACAGAGTTGAACAACCAATTTGGACATGAATCCATGTCATAAGGAATAAAAGAGGTTTGGGACTAAGCATGTATATATTTACTGGTTTTCTTTAGTAACTGTTTTTTTCTTTTTTGCTAGTACAAAGCTTCAATTTACAGGTAGGTCACATTAACTTTAGCTTATTATGGAGTCTTGTAACGCATTCATCTTTAATTAAAAGCTATAAAATCAAAGATACAACTCTCGTTCACACGTAGTTCTTACAAGTTTTCTTTCCTCGTACATGTTTACTACTTTCACATGCAGAAAGAGTTTACTATAATTGGTAGCGAATGAATTTCTAACGCGTTCATCTGTTATAGAGTCATCTTTCTAGTCATATAGAGTGGTAGATAGTCACTTTCACATGTAGCTAAAATTGTTAGCCAATGAGTTCTCTAACGCATTAATTTTTTTTATAGGATTTCAATCTTATAATAGAGTGGTAGATATTCACCTTCACATGTAGAAACAACTTCACCAAATTGTTAGCCAATGAGCTTAAAAGACTAAGAGTACTCTCCATCGGAAAGTTATCAATAAAGTTTCTCATCATAAAAATAAGGGAAATTAGAAAATGGAGAGAAAAAGGGTTGCCGTTATCAAATGAAAATTCTGTAGATTAATTTGTTTTTTTTAGAGCAAAAAAAGATGTAAAGTCTTAGCAAATTTATATGTTTCATTATAACAATTACATGTTGAAGTAGCTGGGATACTAAAATTGTTAGCCAGTGAGCTAAAAGAATAGATGAAACTCTTGTAAAGGTTTTCACTTTCACATATAGCTAGAGACAACTTTTAAAAAATTGTTAGCCAATGAACTAAGAGTAATCAAGAAAGTTGAAAACTGATAACTCTTAGTTTGGTCTATAATAACAGAATTTGATAGATCCAAGAGCACATAAATAAATTAAGGTCTGAAACTGATAGAACAAGATTATTCATTAGCAACAAATTAGATCAACGACAACAGATATGAAAACAAACCCATAAGACTACTATACTACTTTATACTATTATTTGAGAGACTGAATAACAAACAGTCCAAATAAAACTACCATATTTAATTTATTATTATTTTGAGAAACTTAGAGATAGATCAAACGGTACTGGTTGTGCCTCCTTAATTAGTAGGGAAAAGAGAATCGAAATGATTCAAGCAGGCTCGAACACAGTGATACGAACCTCCATTCACTGCTCCCACGCTAAACATTTTGAATTTCTTTCCTTCTTCTGGTTGGTCTGTATTGTAATGCAAGACAGATTCTGATCCATCATGCAACGAGTCTGGTGCTGTGAAAACAAGTTCTCCTGTTCCAATGGTACCTACGAAAGAAAACATCATATGATCGTTCCCAACATTGGCTCTCCATCCAGGAATCACAAGTTGATGTAACTCCCATTCTCCTGAAACTTCGTTCCTAACACAAATCTGAAACACTCCTGTCTTTGATTTCTTATTCACCAAGGCAACTTTCCCATTATAGTTCACCATTGTAGCATCATCATGAAGGCTGACACCCTCAGGCAATGGTCGATATTTAAACTTTTCAGAATTCACGTTGAAGCACATGACTATAGATTTAAGACCATAAAGGGATATAGCTGCATAGTATAAAACTCCTCCTTCACACATTGCACAAGAGAGGAATACAATATGAGGAGGCTTACATGCGATCTGTCTCCAAGATCCTTGACCGCCCGAAATTACCGTGTAGACTAGAGGTTTATCATAACGCGTTGGCCATAACACCTTGAATACACGAGTAGCTTCATCGTATCCCAGAAAACACTTTCGAGAAAATATATAGTCCAAGCCCTTCGATATCTGGTAGACGCAGAACATTGTTGGTAATGGCACTGCATAGCAAAAAACTAGTTGATGCTTGAAGGCAGACCACGCCTCGAATAGGTGCAGACCTCGTCCATTCTACTAAATGATTCTCTTTTTGACAAACAGTGTGAAAAAACGAATTTGGAGTTAGATCCATGGGCATGGATCTTGTCATGGAGCGTAGCAAGTAACGATTTTTGAAGTATTCATTACAGATGACAGTCTTCAGTTTCCTCCAGACGCGACTGCATGCAACAACGATTGAAGAGGCAGACGTAGCAGAATATCGTATTGAACAGCTTCAGGAAGGGACTCCATTTCCATTTCCATTTCCATTTCTATTTCTTGTTTTTTTTTCTCTAGTAGTATTTTTGTATCTGTTCAGGACACAACACCCAAATGTAAATTTATAGAAAATATCAACCAATAAGCTGTGAGTATGGTCACATAATAAGTTTAGCTTCTGGAGTCTTCTAACGCGTTCATCTTTACGAGTAATATTTACATCATCTAATTAATTAAAAGCTATAAAAGAGAAGATAAAATTACATGTATCACACGTAGTTAGCTTAATTTTACAAGTTTTCTTTCCTCGTACATGTTTACTACTTCGATATGCAGAAAGAGTATACTAAAATTGCTAGCGAATGAATTTCTATCGCGTTCATCTGTTTTAGAGAGTCACTTTCACTTGTAGAAAACACTTACTAAAATTGTTAGTCACTTTCACATGTAAAAAACTTTTGTAAAGGTTTTCACTTTCACATATAGAAAAAAATCATATTAAAATTGTTAGCCAATGAACTAAGAGTAATCAAGAAAGTTGAAAATTGATAACTCTTAGTTTGGTCCATAAGCACATAAATTAAGGTCATAAACTGTTAGAACAAGATTATTCATTAGCATAACAAATTAGATGAACGACAATATAAATGAAAACAAACCCTTAAAGACTACTATACTACTTTATACTATTATTTGAGAGATTGAATAACAAACAGTCCAACCAAAAGCTGGATTCTAGAGAAGATCATCCTTGAAACCTAGAGCAAGGGTGAGAGAGAGAGGTTCTTAAATCTTAATGTCTTGAAACATTATACTCTGTCTGTTTAATTCAGCAAACGGTCAGACCATAGCATATTGATGCAAGGTACAGATTTTTCGTTCATTTCTTCTGAAACCGAAAGTAAAAGAGTCATGCCCGTGTAAACATAACAAACCACTGGAGAAGAATCCAACGTTAGTATCTGTTTCCTGAAATATTCATGTCTTAGAACCAAACCTTGACATGAGCGAATAAGGATTTGGGAGCCAACCAGCCAAGCTTCCGAGGCTCGTGTCGAGGTTAAATATTTGTCTCTCTGAGGTTTTTGAATGAAAGTCACATTATTACCATTTAGCTATCTAGACCCGACCCAACTAACATGATACTAAAATATAAATAGATATGTTCAATACTGTGTCAATCTACAACTTAGTTGTAAACATATATTTTTGGCATGACATCAAATTAATATAACCAAACTTGTTTTATCTTCGCAAGTATTTCTTTACAAAACACTATTCACAGTTACTTTGTATACGTAGATGTTTCAAACAATCTCCAAGAGTAATACAAATGGAATTCATGATAATTAGTCTTGAGCAAAAGTTCTAAAGGTATAGGATTAAAGCAGAACATGAGGCCCATTCATAAGTTTGTTTGTTCTCGTTGTTCTAAGGTATAATCATAATCATAACACATAGTATTAAGTCAGATCTTTTGAGTTAGATTATCAGAAATTGTCGTTGATAAAATTTTAAATATTATTAAAACAAATGCATATTAAGAGAATACATATACATATAAAACACTAAGATCCACAGTTGTGTTTCTCTAAGATTAAGGGAATATACATATAAGAATGAATAAGAAGAAAAAAAAAAGTAAAGTTGAGATGCCCATAATTGTGTTTTGTTTCTCAAAGATTATTATGAGAATACATGTAAAAAGGTAATATGTTCCAAATTTCTATTTTAAGAATGTAAAGTTGGAATAAGGAATTGAGCTCTTCCATTCTCTCCCATGTTTAAAAAGGAAGCCATATAATTAGTCAATCAAAAGAGCTATGTTTGATACCTCACCAAACAGGAAAATCTTATATATGTTAATCTTTTACCAACCGCTTTTGTTACAACGAGTTTAGGAGAAAGAATAAAATGGATGTTACAGGCTTATTTCAGATGGTTACGAAAATGATGTAACTTCTCTAAAATGCTTTTTGTTATTGAGATTCTTATGTTGATGTTACATCGAATGATTGATCTTTATATAGAGATCGAATCATTAGGCTAAGAGACACACCTCTTCGCATCCAGAGTTACATCTCTTCGATGTTACATCTCTTTGTGTAATAAATAACTAACTTATGTAAATGTATCAAGGAGAGATTAGATTATATAGTTTAACACTCCTCCTTAATCATATCTCGACTTAACNTTGATCTCGATGTGCTTCGTCCTTCTGTGTTGCACCGGATTCTTCCCAATTGCTATTGCTGATTTGTTGTCACATAAGATCGGAATGCCTCCTTCAAACTTCTGACCAAAGTCTTCAAATAGTCGTTGTAACCACACTGCTTGATTTGCTGCTGCACACACGGCTATGTACTCTGCTTCAGCTGTTGATTGAGCCACTGCTTGTTGCTTGCTTAACTGCCAACAGAACATGGCTGATCCAAGAGTAAACACATAACCTGAAGTGCTTTTCTTGTCTTCTTTAGAACCACCCCAATCGCTGTCCGAGTAGCCTACAAGTCTTGGTTCTTTCACGCTTGTGAAGTACACTCCATAGTTTGATGTTCCTTTGACATATCTTAACACCCTTTTGGCTTCTTGGTAGTGCTTCATGCGCGGGGATGACATGTATCTTGAGAGATAGGCGCTTGCATACATCACATCAGGTCTTGATGCGCACAAGTACAAAAGCCCTCCAACGATGCTTCTATACTTAGCCGGATCTCCATACTCCTTGTCATCTTCAACTCCTTTTCCTTGTGGTGTAAGTGGGTTGCTTACACTCTTGCTGTCTCGCATCCCAAACTTGTCTACAAGTTTGTTTGCATACTTTTCTTGTGAAAGAAATATGCCTCCATCGTCTTGAATTACTTCCATTCCAAGAAAGTAGTTCAACAATCCAAGATCCACCATCTCAAATTATTTCGTCATGTTCTCCTTGAATGTGTTGATGCTTTGGATGTTGCTTCCTGTGATGATTATATCATCCACATATAGACTCACGATCAACACATCTCCTCCTTGCTTCATGATGTATAAGGCCGCATCGTTCATACTTCTCGCAAAACCGTATTGAAGGAAGTATGCATATATCCTTCCATACCATGCCCTTGGGGCTTGCTTTAAACCATATAAAGCTTTGTGTAGTCTTAACACCTTGTGTTCCTTCCCGTGTGTCACATACCCAGGTGGTTGTGTGACATACACTTCTTCCTTGAGGTCGCCATTGAGAAATGCTGACTTCACATCCATCTGATACAATCGCCACTTCATCTGAGCCGCATAGGCAAGTATGACTCGTATTGTATCATGTCTTGAGACAGGAGCAAACGTCTCAAGGTAGTCAA